GGGTGGAGGAGTGGGTGGGGAGAGATTAATCAAAGAATTTATATGTTTATAAGCATAATCCCTGGACACAGACATTGATCTGGGGAAGGCCTGGGGGTGGGGTGGATGTGGGGTGGAGGGGATCAAAAAGGGGACGGACATCTGTAATATTTTCAACAATAAAGATAAACTTAATAAATATGTACTTAATACCAAATCCCAACTGAAATCTTAAGTACGGAAATGAAACTGTTTTAGTAGCTGAAAGTGGCTGAAAAGGTATGGAATCTGGCCAACATGGCCTCTGTGGAAAGGGGACTTCACCACTGCAGTTCAGGGGCAGTTATTGGAGTACGGCAGAGACCACTTCATGTTTTTTGTCATGAGACTTCACACTAACCCTATTCTTTCCCTTTTCAGGTGGTTTATCCTATCCATTTTTTTGTAGAGCAGGCAGTGGGCATTGTTACTTCCTCATTTCCAAGTGTTTAGGAGAAAGATGTTTCCCGATGGTCCCCAAGTTTAGGCGTATTCTACAAACTAATTCTACCAATGACAGGGGAATTAGGAAAGACTTCACTGTGGGGATGGCCCTTGAGCTGAGTCTTGGTTAGTTGACAGGCTGGGACAGATTTCACGATTTGAGCCTGAAACATTTTGAGAGGTTTGGCCTCATACTGGGGAATCCTAGAACCAGATAGTCTGAGAAAGGCGCCAAGATGGATACTAGATGGACAACCCCAGGGCTCCCAGGACCTAGTGTGGCTTCCTCAGCCAAACTGGGACAAGATCTCTAGAGCCACATAATCACTAACTTCTGTGATGTCATAAATAACTCTGTCCTAGTCACTTCATATTCTAAGTCTCTGTTCAAAAAATTCAAAATGATATCCTTACACAAAATGATAGTCCTAACACAACTTACATTTGGCTATGTTGCCAAAGTGAACTTTCCTCCTGATTCCCACACTAATAATTGTGTCTTTGGAGTTCTGGTTTTTCTTTTCCTCCTTTCTTACTCTACTTTCATTATATTTCTTTTATACCACAGGGTTGGAGTAGATAAATTCACTAAAACTTAGAGGAAAAGTTGCTGTCGAGGTAAAGCTGCCTCCCCAAAGGTAGAAGCTGGCCGTGTAAGGAGTCTGTCCAGTAACCTTCTCTGATAAGAT